ATATTTACGTTTTTTTTCTATCTTCACAATTTTCTCAAGGGGAGGGGGATAGATTGCTTACGTTCGTGTGCCGATTTGCTCACCGAGTTTGCCTCAATCTACTTGCTGGCAATAGCTATCGTTTAAAGTCCGCCACCCCATGGCGAGGTAGCAGGAGTTTCCAAAGCCTCGCCGCTTTTCCTTAGAGCTAAGATTTGAGCATCCTAAGGGGATCTAACGCCTCATAAACGCTAAACTATAACTTCGCCAAATACTCCGCCTGCTGCCTGTCATCAAACTGAACTTTGCGAGCCCGATAATGGATAAATCCAAGACCAATGAAGAGGAAAAGAAGGTTGAAGTAATGTTCTTTTATGATGTCGCCTTCGATAATGAAGTTGAAAGGATAGCCTTACGCATTCACATTCACTCAAAACCTCATTTCTTCCATACTTAAGGTACACCTCTGTCAAATTCAGTAGCTTCAACATGTTACCTCGATGGTAATTTTACGACTTACAGTTTGAAGTTATTGGAAAAAACTGAATGAGATATGATCCTATATTGAATGCGTCCCTTGGGTTTGAATGTATATCTGTTCATTGGGCGTGCTTAGCTCAGTCTGAGGAAGGCATAGCGGAACGATGGGCGGATCCAGAGCCTAGCGCTTAGGCATTAGGCTCTGGCTCCGCCCATCGTTCCGCTATGCCTTAGATTCAGGATGCCTAATCATTTACTCCAGGGAAAAGCGGCGAGGCTTTGGGAACTCCTCGCGCACTCCCCACCGCATAGAAAGTACTCAAAATAAACGACTAACTTGTAATGTTAGCCTTGGAATTCTCTATCGTTTGAACTTAAATATAAATGGACAGACAGTTAGCCGGACTCGAGTTCATCTCAAGACCAAATAAAACTGACTTTGACTATTGTCCGAACGCTAAGTCAATTTCTTAAAGCACCCTTTACTTCTTAATCGCTTAGCATTCGAATGTTGTGCAATGATACCTCTATCACCTCACATTTCTACAGCGCTTATAAAGTATTCCGGCATATTTAACTATAAGAACTATATTGACGCTCTTCAAAGTGTTCCTCTCAATTAGCGACCACCTAGCTCTTCTTCTGCTTGATAAATTCTACTGATAATGCATTCTGCTTTCAAAATGAACTGCGCGGTCGATAGAATCCCACATCTCTCATTTAGTCCTACGCCCTATTCCAAGAAATTCAACAGTTGATAACGGCGGAACGAAATCGCGTATCAAATTTGTGCAGTAAATTACTATAGAACTGTACAGTTTATCATACTTGGCACAACAATCTATAATAGATGTAGGAAAGAGATATACAAATGCATAGAACAATTTTGTGATCGCATAGAAAATTTGCTGCGCTACTCTATGCCAGAGATTGCAAAGGATAGGAGATCAGCAATGAGATAGGTATTTTTTTATGATTGAATCACTCGAACATTTCTCGTAATTGCGACAACACCATATTATCCTTCGGTGGATTGCTTTTTGCCACATTCTCCACGCGTTCTCTCAAAATGGCCAGAAGATCCATTACACTTCTGCTGGTGCGACAGACCGCTAAAATAATATCTCATTTATTTTTTATGCCTAAGCTTGTCGTATGGATTGAGTGTCTCAACTTACTTGAAGTGCTGTTGCCAACACGTCGAATTCCTTGGGAAGTCAAGTCACAAAGGATGGCAAGTTGTGCGCAACTCCCTAATCGTAGTAAGCAAGTGTCGCCGTCTAAGTCGTCTGAGTACAACAGATCACTACATGAAAGTCCTCCCACTCTCTCCATGAACTTGCTGAAATTGTTTAGCAGTAGTGAGTGTGAATTATTGTACTACTTCCTCTACCAAAAAATGGCAAAGCTCAAGCCCAAAAAACATGGGAAACTCACGTAATTAACACTTTGTTCTTGAATACAACTCGGTGAAGGATGAGCGAGATAGGCAGAGTAACTTCAAAATCGTGCAATCGTGGATCTTGAACGTCGTGGTTCTAGATTATTCACTAGTTATGCAATTCCAGGTAAGAAAAATTCTTATTTCATTTTTGCATATTGTGTCATAATATAGAGAGACATAGATATGAATTAGCCAATGGAGTAGTGTAGCGCCACAGATATATAGGTTCATTACTACGCAGCATCCGAACGCGCTAATTGCGGCGCGGCCGAAATGCCAGCATTATCAAGGATGGCTTAGTCTGATAATGACTGTATGCGTCTTTGCATTCAAGACGAAAGCAAAACTTTGTCGATAAGCAATACATGATTTTCGTAATACACTTTTAGGAAATTCTTGAATAATGCATAGATGCAACACTTACATCCTCATTTAATTGAGTGAGGTAGTTAAGAAGATGAACAGCGCAGATATTAATTGACTTGTCCAACATTACATCTGTGTACTCCTCGTTATCCAAGAACGCTCGCCATAATGCAAGATACGCATCGCCAGCTTCTAAAGCATTGAATGGAGGTCCTGCACACAGAATTGGGCTGGCTAAATCTACCTTTTTCTTCTAAAACATCACCGTTCTTTGTGCAAGTCATTATCCATTTAGGAATATAGTCCAGAACAGATAAGAGATTTGAGAAAATTGCACACTGAAACAATTGCAATGCTTTTGGTTGGATTGACGATCTGTCATAATTCATTTGAACCTACCCCATCTTCAAGAAGTTGTCTGGTTGCAATCAAGACCGGTGGGAACAATGCTGCGGGAGTACTGCTGCTGCAGAATGCCAAAACAACTCTAAAGATTGCGTACACGACCTTTACAGATTGCACCACCACGTTATAGATACCTGCTGGAGATGTTTGGGTAGTATCCATATTCAGAAGAATATATATCTACGGGCGACTCAGAAACAGAAGAAGTTTTTGATGCTGTTGAAAAGTCCCATGCAGCCATTGTAAGCCCAATACAACGTAAAACTGTCTGGAACTCATTACTCACGCATACTAGCACAAGTTCCTTAAGGATCTTTTCTCACCTCACTGAGTCGAATCAAAAATGAAACGATCTCATCAGAATAGAGAGCAGCCAAATTGGATAAGACATCTAATTCGAACCAAGCCAGTTCATCACACATATCCACTATAAATCTGGTAGAATGGTCTATGTCGTCTTCGCCACGATCCTGAACTTTTGATTAATCACAATGAAGGTAAAGAAAATCATACTATAGTTGACCTTGCAGTTGATCAGCACAGCGGCAAGAGTCTGCTTCATCTCAAATGCTTCTACAATGAGATCGTCTGGAATACCAACATCAATGACTTCTCGCCCTAATCTGAGATCGACGACGTGTCGGATCATGGAAAGCTTCTAAAAAATTCATAAAAATCGCAAGCAGCTCCTATTTGCCAGTTATCTTACATGTACTTTCAACTAAAGTCTATGTGCTCACCTTATAGAACTGCTCTAATTGATATAAATAACTACAAGTTATCATCTGATTTGTTGAATAGCTCCGCAACAAGTATCTGAGATACCGAAGAGCTTTTCGTAGTCGATCTACTGGAGGTAGCTGAAGTAGAGAATTAGATGAATGGATGATCACAACTGCAAAATCTAATTTACTTCTGGAGATTTCTTTTTCTTAGATGGTGGTGAATGTTCTGGTGCACTGATATGCGTTTGCAGTATGGATAACCCTAAGATAAGTGCCATTATAAGTAATTTACCAGTAGAAATTGGACAAGAGATACCAACCAGAATTAATGATTTCGAATAGATACTCAATCTTCCACTGAGCCGTGGCTTCCAAGTAGGGTTCCATAACGCATTCATCCACTACCTTCTCGTTTAAGAGGGACAGAACAGATTGAGTGATGCCATCCATGGAAGACGGGGGTAGCATGCTACCAATAAGCATTGTAGTTCCAATAAGTGATGTGCTCTGGAATTTTAACTTAGTATACATCATACAAGCTACGTTTAAGGCGACGCTAACAATGTTGCCTACCTACCCTGAAACACTGAAACATCTTCTTGAATACTTTTGTTTCCAAATTGTCCAACTTTTGTTTTTCTGCTGCATATCTACTCTCCATAAGAGCCTTAAAAAACGATTTTTTTT